GAGTGGTTTTTTTTGAGCAGATGAAATGAGGCCTTTAAAAATCTTGGGGGACTTTGGTGTATTTTCCTGCAAGTCGAGCCCTGTTTCTTCATCCATGTGAGGATTTTATGCCGTTCGTCTGAAAACATGAAGAGTGATGTTAAACACAGTGTTACGCTGTGAAAATCTACAACATGAAACCCCCAGAACCCCAGAGATTAGGGTTAAATGGGACTTTGAAGCCTATTAAATTCTATATTTTCTGGTCTGAACACCACAGAAAAAGGCTAAAAGTTCAGCGTGCTGCGCGTACACTTACTGGAACTGTAAGCGGACAATGGAAGGTTTGATCGCCTCTCCGCGGCCAAAAATCTTTAGCCTTGTAGGACGAGAGGTTACTAAACTCAGTCCCTGTGAGGTTCGCTCGGCCTGCGATGCTTAACAAAGCAACGACGTGACGAAGCGCTGGAGCTAAATCGTTTTAAATATCGACCACAGGATTGTGCATCGTGTCCGTCTTGTTGGAAGGCGTCCACGGCGGTGGGAAAGGCGATGGCCTCGGTGTGAGCAGGGAGCCAAGTGGGGCCAAACACTGTGAGTCAGAGTGTGGGAAGTCATGAGTGTGTCACCAGGAATGTCAGCATATTTTTCTGAGGAGGAGGATGTGATCTCTGGGGGGAGAATACAGTGAACAGAGGAAAGCTCGGGGTCGTTTTTCCCCCGACAGTTCAACTGTACAAATAAGAGTCGACTTTTTATAAACTCATCTGTGGCAGGCGAAATCTCACAGACGATGCTTTGAGCTATGAATCACAGGTTTCAATAGGAAGTGTTGGTCTGACAGATAAAGTTGTCCTCAGGGAGCTAAACAGACCACAGAGGGACTACTGGAGTAACTGGTTTATCATTTAGGTGGAGCATCAGGTAACTAGTGTTGCTTTCACTGGTCCAAGCTTCTCAAACGTCTCGGCCACGTATGACAGTAAACTGGAAATCTTACAGATGCTCAAAGATCAGGAGTGAAATAAGCAGTCAGTGTCCTGGCTGAGCTTTTCCACCTTCAGACTTCAGAGTGACGACGACAGACTCAGAAACACAGATCCAGACTTTTAGGGTTTCATGTGGAACAAACATATTGAGCTGATCCAGTCAGTTTGCAGGCTGGGACTTTCTGCATCATTATGCTTTAGAATCTGATTGAAACATGTGCAGCTGAATTATTTCAGTATTACTACGTACCAGCGTGTAGTTTTATAGTGTTTGAGCAGATTAGGAGGTGAGCTGGTGTGCTCGAGCTGCAGCGAGTGGAGAGAAACCATTACAACTAAGCCATATTTAGGCAGAGAGGGATTATTTTCATTTAAAACAATCTTTTAAATATGAAATTTTGATGCACAGAAATGAGTTTTTAGGGTTTAAATCAACAACCAGAGAGAAACTTTAAGCTTTCAGACTGTTCAGACAAAACGATTCAACTCAACACATCCTCAAGTTACGTCACTACGATATTATTTAGCAAATCAAATAAATATCCTGCAGATTACTGGACTGAGAACCATCTCTAGCCGCTGCCCTGATTACCACAGAACCATCATCACGTCTTCTATTTATCGTACGATTGATTGAAAGCATCGCTCTGTGTTTCACTCCTGGAATGTGGTGGAAACCCAACGAAATCCAAAACCGCCTTTGATCCGAGGACGTGGAGCATCATCCATACGGCCGAGGATTCCCCCGAACGCAGAACGCACACGGCGCCCGAGCGCTGCTGTGTGTTAGTGTTGGCTTATCTGTGTGTACATATCCGTGCCTGTGAGTGTGTGTTTGCCTTCGTGTGTTTTCCTATTTGCGTGTGTGTGTTTTGCCCATTCCTGGACCACATGTCCTCAACAGTCCCTGACATCTGGTGACCATTCCTCTGCTCCGGCTCTCTGACTGCACTTCACAAACCCTGGGAACGGCTGCTGTGTAGGCTGCTGCGGTGTGTGGGCGTGTATGTGTGTGTTTATATATGTGTGTGTGTGTGTGAGAGAGAGAGAGAGAGAGAAGAAATGACCTCAGGTTTGGTGCAAATGTTTTCACAGCGCTTTAATAACGCGTTCTCCCGTTTAGCCGCTCGTCTGCGTTCCGACGTTTTTCTTTGTTTTCCAGAACAGACAAGAGCCTCACTGTGTGCAGAACCAGCGCAAAGCCAAAGGCAGGTTTTATGCAATCTTCCTCGGGCCTGTTTGGTAATTTCCTGGCACCGAGCGGACACGTTGCGGTGCCAGAGTAAGAGCAGAGGGGCTGCAGAGCTGTGGCTACGCTGATTAGGCGGTGCAGGGCAATGTTACTGTGCGTTTTAGCCGACGACAAACCAATCAGACCTCAGGAGTGACAAAGCATTCATCTCCAGTGCGGTCTGTTTCTATTTACTCTGCGTTATTTTCCTCCACCGGTGGACGTGCTGAGGAGGATTCTTATGTAACACAATCCACAGAAGTGTAACGCAGCGACCCGCAGTTCAATGAAATTTCAATACTGAAGTCGTGTTTGTGGAGCGAGCAGCCCACAACAATCCCTCACTTCGCCGCGCACTTCATTAAACACCAGCAGGAACGTTCAGCTCGAGCCTCTTTGAATCAGTTCAACCCAACCTGTTAACGGGAAACTTGACCTGACGCATAGCTGCACGTCGAGACCGAAGGACGCAGGCTGCTGTCAGCGTGCACAACGCGAGCAACGAGCTAATAAAGATAGCATGAATAAAACATGTGCAGAGGCAGGAGCACCCTTTATGGTTCCCTTGTTGTCGGGCTCACTGGATCACACTCGTAAACTACAGTTTAGCCATTTTTCTTGAGTTTGGTTTGTGGTGTGATTTTTCCTTTTTTCGGCCACGCTTCGGTTCAATATTCGCTGTGTAATAGATTTAAAACATGTGACAGAGTTTCACCACATGAGAAAACATGATTGTCACATAAAAACAAAAGAATATTGTTGTGGGCTGCTCACATAATCGAACGCAGCACATGTGGATTGGATTACATAAGAATCCTCCTCAGTCACACGTCCAGTGGAGTTTGATGCACATATTAATCAATAGAGGGAAATAAAGCCTAAAACCACTGATGGAGCTGTTTAAACTCTGGTCAGACATGTTGCATAAAGCATTCTTTCAAAATGCGATTCTTAACCGATAGTGGATAAATTATTCAGCCCTGCATAAACAGACAATTTCACTTGTGCACACATCTGATAAAAAAGCCTTTGTGCCTGTAAATTATCTCCCAGAAGATGTGAACACTGGTTTAATATTTTTTCTCGCTGGATTTCTGCACTTTAAAGACATAAAAGCATCAGTTTGAATAATGCAGAACTGCTGAGGTGCTTCATGAGGATTTTTCTCTCTCAGCCTCTCTGCTGCTGCTTCACCTGCTTTTAAAGGTGGAGAGCTGAGACCTCACCGTGGCTTCACCTCGTTTGCACCAGTCTGCGCCTGTGGTCACCAAAACTGCAAATTATGTGCTTGTTGTCACCACAGTGTGTGTCGGTGCCTGGAGACTGTTTTGGAGTCCAAGAGCTTGTTTGTATCCTGATTTTGCTCAAATGATGCATCAGAAAGTTTGGCTGTGTTTCTGTGGCGAGGATGTGGTGATGCATCACGAGCAGCAACAACAAGTCAGGTTATTATTTTTATCCTGAATTGTTTTAAACATAAATGATTTTCACCTGTTTGCTGATGACAGCTGTTGAGTTCTGTTCTGTTTTCCCTCTGTGCCATTGTGTTCCTGCTCGGTTCTCCTCGTTCCTCTATTCGTCGTCACTCTTCACAGGCTTTGTTACAGAGATGGTTTATTCTCATTTCGGGGTTTTCCCTCATCGTTATATTTAGCCGACAGGAAACGTCCCAGAAATCCTCTTTCTCCTCCCACAGCGAGGCAGCGAGGGAGCGAGATGAAGCCACATCCACAGTATCTCATGGCCTTCGGGCCCAAACAGGCTCGTTCTGGGATCTGCTTTGTTTATATTTCCTTTTTTGTCAAACAGAATTCATAGACAGTGACTCCGCGTCGCCTCGGTCGGGTTAGGAGTTTGGTTTTTTCCAGTCTCGCGCCGTCCTCCATCCGTCAGCCTCATTCATCTCCACATCAAGTCCAGGATTGTTCTCCTCACCTCAGGTTCAAGCTCAGAGCCGTTTGGGGGCTTCAAGGCCTAATCCCCTCCTCTTTAAATTGCCTGGGAGTCCAAACCCCTCTCTGCCCTCGATAAGCTCTGACCTCCGACCCTCTAATACTTCCCTTCCTTCCTGCGTAGACCCGCAGCTCGTTTTTCTCTTTGCATCTCCAGAATGACAAGTTCACTGGTACGCTGTGTGTAGTGCTATGGAGCTGCTGTTCTACTGCATCATGTCAGAAATATGCTTATATATGGTGGTTTAACCTCTCCTGGAAGTTTTCTCCTTTTATTGCCTTTCAACATTGAATCATGATCCATTTATGTGACTTCTTTGGCAAGAATTTATTTAAAAAGACTCTTTAATGTAAAAGTGGAAACAGATTTCTACAAAATAATGTTAATTAATTAAAAATATGAGACATAACAGCATTGAACCTGCGTAGACAGGCCTCTTTGAAAAAAGTATAAACACAGAATCTATGCAAATGTCCTGAAAAAGGAACCCCAGCTTTAATGTGGCATCTTGGACATCATCCAGCCAGTAGATTAAACACAACTGTATGCATTTAAACGGATCGTACATCACGCTGGAGTCTCTGATCACTCACAAATTGGATGCATGTAAACCCTAATTGCCCTGCGGGGATTTTGATGAGCATCAACATTAAAACATAAACACGCTCAATCAATCCAACGGCGTGCATTAGTGCATCATCGTACTCAGCCCACTTCATCATCGGTTGTTTTTTTATTTATGTGTTTCCAAAACGAAGCCAGTAAACCGCCGACACCATCTCCTCACAGCAATAAAACCTCAGAGTGGATAATTAATTTTCATCTCTTGTTTTTTTTTGGTTTCTCAGGAGAAGCGGAAACGACAAACTGAGATTGAAGACAAACGAGGGCAGCTGGACGATCTGGTGCTGCAGCTACAACATGTCAAGGTTGGTTGCTTTGGTTAAGTCTGTGTTGATGGTGCCATTTACAATAAAGAAATGGGATTCGGAGCACACTTCTTGGATGCTGGTCCACTTACGATCCGGATTCATTCAGCGTGTTCCCGCCGTCCTCGGTGCACGCCGCTGGCTACACGTAGCGTCTATTCTCGTCAGGCCACTTATTCCCGTCTCTGCATTCCGCTCCTATAAATACTCGTCACATGTCGGTAAAAAACACGTCATCACGAGCATGACGAGGATCTCAATCCGACCTGCATGCTTGTAATGTTGACCCAATGCAAAGAGGCACCAGGGTGAAGGTTTAGAAGGTTCCTGTTCTCCAAAAACAGCCCAAAAAAATCCTACAACATGATTTAATAAAACTGTACTGGCACTGGGAGATATGACAGAAGATCCTGCACTGGGCTACGATTTGCTTTCCTGCGTGCTCCTGTTACATGCAGCTGTTTGTTCATTTCTTGAATTTATTGTTTCATCTCCGGCTGAGCTAAATTCTGCAAAAACTGCTCCGTGTAAGAGATACGAGATGAAGCGATGTTCTTAGCTGCGTGTTTGATGCCCGATATTGAATTTAGGGTTAGATTAAAAAGACGTGGGTGTAAAGGTGAAGGTAGAGGGTTCAGGTTTGAGTGAGGAGCTTTGCAGAGGAATGAGATGAGTGATGACGCTCAGAGGAAAGCGTCGCTCATTCATCTCTCTCCGTCTGCTCAGCATCTCTTCTTACCTTGACCCCAGCTGTCCACCGACAGATGAAGAGACGTAGCGTGCTCTCTAAGCTGCATCACGTCTTCTCACGGCGCTGTTCTGCTGTTTTCACTTGCAAAGTGGGTTTAATCACTCACAAGCGCGGACGCCTGTGTTTTTGGCCGACAGGTAGCGGTTCCGTCTAAACATCCAGATCTGGGTGCTGAGTTTTCCTTGGCCGAGTCGGGCAGGCTCGACTGTTTTCTTCTTTCCAGAAAAACACTCAGATCCAAACACACACAAATATATCCCCTAATACTTAGTGCCAGCCACGACCGGTGAGCCAAGATTTTTGTTTCGAGTAAACACAGATTTGACATTCACATTATAAGTGGCTACTGGAGCCGCGGACGGACGGCGAGTTTACCAAAACGTGGCAGTTTCTTAAGCAGCAGTAAATTATGTGAAGCTCTCGAACCTTTCAACATGTCGTTGACCTCTGACTGGGATTTCTGCGTCCTCGTCATATTTACAAGACGTGTGCATGAATTAAAAAACGTGCTTTAAAAACTCTGTTTGTCTGTTAAGGTGCAGTTTGTACGAGCTGCTCTGAGTGTAATTGCATTACCTTCAAAAGGAATTATTTGGAAAAATCCTGCAGCCCTAAATGCTGCACAGATGCAGGGCGGGTCAGGGAACAGCTGTGGGTACCCATTACGCTCCAGATATCTGTGGTAGTCGGTTTTAATATTTGCAATAAAAATACATTCCGTCCTCTAATTAGAGTCATTAAACACAGTTGGCATGAATGAATCTTTTATCAAATCAGTTTGGATTCCACATGCCGGCTGTTCTCCAGCGTTTAACACCCACTTATGGAAACATGGACACGAGAGAAGCATTGATTGAAGCCATGTGCACTGTTTCAGATCATTAAAGCATCGCCTTCACTGCAGAGCGACTCTTAATGAAGGTCGAGCTGTTTGGTTCCGTCTCCCTCTAGAGTCCAGATTCCTGCAGTCCAGCTGCAAAACATGCATTCAACCAAGTCTGACCCGTTCGGTACCACTGACCCGGCTCTGCAGAAGGTCGTTCTGAACGTGCTGCTGATTCATTTCATCCTTTTAATGTTTGTTTTTCTTTCTTTTTTGACCTGATGTGGGCTCCTCCGTATGGAGCGTAATAATCATAACAGACTACATGTGACACCAGCTGCTGACATTTCAGGCTTACTGCAGTAATTACACATTAGCTTAGCAACCCTTTGATGCTTTCTAAATGCAACATGGCAGAAATCCACGATTACAGGACCTGAGGCGATAACAGGCGGCGTTATTATCCAACATGATGTATAGCTGTAAACACATAGATATAGATACACATGCAACACAGACATACGATGTGTTAGGAGTTCTAATGAAGCAGAAAAATGATTGTTTACTACAAACCATAAAGACGCTGCTTGACTCCGCACCGCTCTCTGCTACATGCGCTGCAGACATTACTGAGAATATTGTAAATGATGCAACTCGATCTGCAGGACAAACTACATGATGAAATCATTTCAAAATAAAAAGGAAAGCATCTTTTTCTGCATTATATTCTGCAAAAAAAAAATAAAAAAATTGTCATATCTGCATGTTGGACATCATGATGATAGTAATATAATAATATTATATAATAATTTTAGCCTAAACTCTGTGTTTTGGGCTCTATTTTTATGCACACAAATGCGTCATAATGATTCTGCCACTTCACCAAAACTGTTCTGTTTGCTAGTTAAGCACTCTGTTTTTTTTGTTTTTTTTTAGCTTTTTGTGTCTTTACTTGACAGAAAAAGATGCAAATATGCTAAAATCAGATGCACTAAAGGTTTTCCACTGAGCTCAACTTGCTCATCGTCTAAACCTTATGGTCCTGGGATGTTAAAGTTATAACACAACCCTGTTAGCAGCTCAGTTAATTCATAAAAAGCTGTTTAATATCTGTGTTCTCATAGCAGCACCAGGTCATCTGGACTGAGCTGTATTCATCTATACTCTGGTTTAGTTGCAAAGATGAAAGCAAAACATGATGAAGTTTGATAAACTTGTTCAGATCAGTTAAGTGCATCCTTCTCTTATCTCCTCTCTGTGCTCCCGGGAGACAAATGATAAACAGCAGGAGATATGATCTGAACGCGCTCTAATCCCAATATGTTTGCTCTGTCTGGAGAATCGAGGCCCGGCTGATCTCCGGGTCGGGCTGCTGCTCTGTTTGGCTTTCCCGCATGCAACACCAGCAGGCTTGAAGTCCAGATGTAATCAGCATCTGGTCATACAGTCCCATTTAATGGCCATTACCTCTGAGTGCCACACAGCCAGGCAGCATGAAGCCGGCTTTGTAGTGAGCTCTCCAGAGACAAGGCGGCCTGGGAGAGGAAATGGAAACTGGAGCCCAGAGATTTGATAAGGACCTCTGGGCTGCCTCTCAGAATGGAGGCGTTGATCTGAGTCTGGGACCGAGTAAACATCACCAGAGCAAACTTTAACCTCAACCACCATTTTTTTCTGTTGAAGCTCTTTGGTAGGTTTTTATTTTTTTTTGCCTTCTGGCAGTGACTGAATGTCGTTTGATAATCTGGTCAAAATTGTCTATTTGGGTTTCTTGATGAAAAGCGCAGACCTTCTAAACAGCCCGAACCTTCCCTTTAAGAGTTCAGCTGCGGTTGTGTGTCATCGCTCGACAGGAAATGGAAAGTCTGTTAAACAGCATGAGAGAGAGCAGAGAGCGATCTGCTTCTCAGAGCAAACAGCAGATTACTCCTCACAACTTCATTCACCGTCGCTTTTGTTGATCGCACCAAAAAGCGTCAACATCAGGTCGTGGTTTTTTCGCCTCACATGCAGAATATTGCTATGATCTTGATTTGGCCTCTGAAAGACTTTATTATCGAGTAACTAGGTGCAAACGAAACACTAATAAAGCTGCTGAATGGGAAAAATGGGCAAAACTAGACGGATAAAGGACGGGCGGCTTTAAAGTTCAGCTCCTAACTTCAGATTTAGTTCATATTTATCACCTTTACTGAACAAGAAAAGCTGTATTTCTGTTTAAAGATCTCCTTTCCAGTGATTTAGCAGAGAGCAAAAGGAGAATTGGATAAAATTTGCAAAACAACTCGTCAGGTTTTCGTGAACTTTAAAGTCTAATTCAGGAGTTAAGTTGGAGTCCGGTCGTCTGACAAGTCGTGCATCTTAAGTTTCATTCAAAATATTTCTGGCTGACAACTCTGATAATCCAGCTTGCTATGTGAGGGTGCAGCAGTCACACAAACAAACAAACAAACAAACAGTCCGGCCGCCACGTTCTGACTGCAGGCGGGAAAACGCCTCAGAACGATTTCGTCAAGGAGCCGGCGCTGCTAATTGTCGGCTCTACGACCAACAACCGAGCAGCAGTTTGAGGGTAAACAGCCAGAGGTGAGGCAGAGTTCCCGCTCGGCTCTGTTGTGGTAACAAAACAGAGACGGAGACGTTAGCGGCGCGATCGCAGCTCCGGCATTCGGCTGTAAAACAATGAGGAGATGCAGCTGAAGAGCAGGACCACCGATACGGCTGCCAAACAGTTATCAGAGCTCAACGATGAGGGAATGAGCTGATTTTTAAGGAGCAACAAGCACCAAAGTTTAAGCTTTTGTTGCTTCCAGGTTCATTTTCTTACATTTCCTGAATGTTTGTGGGGTTTGAAATGTCGGTCAGACAACAGACGATGGTTTATTGATCTCTGGGACGCTGTCATGGCCGTTGTTCACTGGTTTCTATCATGTTGTCGCCCAAACACTGAATCAATTAACCAGTTAAACGCTGGTAGAAAGCACAAATGTGGAAACCGGTTTAAGACACCAGATAAAGCAGCAGCATCACAGATAGACGGGAATTTATTTAAGTTTCTGTTGAATCACAACAAACTGTTCTAATGGTAATAAACTAAATATATATAATTGGGCTCAACAACAAAAAACTAATGCAATTAATCATTTTGAGTTATATTTTAATGAAATTATGTTCAACCAATCGTGAGTTTAGGAAATTAGCATCAGCTCTGCATTTAAAGGTATCGTTAAGCACCACTTATTTAATGATTATTAGCAAGTTTTCAGTTAATTACTCGTGAATATTAGGTTGTTTCAGGTAGTATTTACGTGATTTTTAGGTGTTTTATATTTTTTACAAGTTTTTAGGTTGTTAAAAAAATAAATAGAAGTTCCCTCAGTTCATTTTTAAATCAACTAATGTAATGTGAGTTTAAATTACACATAATATTAAGCTAATGCAGTTACCATTATTATGTCAAATCAGCCATTTAAAATAATGTATTGAACCTAAAAGCTTGATTCAAATCTCTAAAAAATAGAATCAGTGCTTCGCAGCCACTTTTGTAATATGAAGTGGTGGAAATAGGATTCTTGATTTTTATTTTATTTAACCTTTTTTTGCTAACCTTTACTTACATTAAGGTACTGACGCCTCATGTAGCCTCAGACAATGAAAGTACACACATTACAAACTGTAAAATATTAAAACAGTCAACAACAGCAAGAGCAGCTGGATCAGAGAAAATTACAAATCAGAATTAGCAAGAGGACAGAAATGTTGATTTTTCTGCATCTTCTTCCAGGTTGCAGGAGCACAGTGAGGGTTTAATATGCTCAGTAAATAACTTTTCAGAAGAAAGAACAAAACTTCCTTTCAGTGACTAAACTCTTTCTCTAAGCACCTGTTGCGTGTCTCTGTGTCCTCCTCAGTCCAAAGCCATGCGCGAGCGATGGCTGCTCCAGGGGACGGGCGTGGAGGAAGAGGAGGCGCGACGGAAACAGCTGGAGCAGGACGAAGAACAAGGCAAGAGGCTGGAGGACATGATACACAGGTACCACACAGGCTGTACGTCTGGTTGTCTGTCACTGTGGGATGAGTTAGGCTTCGATGTAGGATGCAGGATCAACACGATCAGATGATTAAACTGATACCAAACAGATGTAAGCAGCAGAGAGACAACAACAAAAGTCGTCACATCTGTTCTGGATGACATGTTTCTGATCGTCTATCCGGCACCGAGCGGTCTGAAGCAGATATTTCCTGCAGCATCAATCTTATTATCTGTTTGGATTTATACGTGTGATGCTGAAAATCAAGACTTTAAAATCTGACAACAACAGTAAAATTTAACTAAAACAAGCGTAAATCCAAAGTCTGGAGTTCTGCAGTTTTATGCCCTGCATGTATGCACTGAACACACAACTTCTGTTAGAACTGATACCACCAGAGCTGGTAATAAGAACATGATAGAACATGAGGGAAGAGCTTAATGAGGAAAACGAGAGCTGGAGGGAGGAAGAAGGAAAAGTTAAAGCGAGATAGGAAGCTGATGAGTGACAGCAGGGCGTGACTGCCAGAGGAGGAGATGTGGAGAAAGAAAGAGTGATGTGACTCTGTGAGCTTTTTCCTGTGTTTGTGTCTCTGGGAGGAGCTTCCTGATTCCCATCAAGCACTGCTGCGAGATAGTCACTTATTCCCCCGATGAAGTTGTGGCGTGAGATCATGCTCTGAATAAAGCTGCCAGCCAGCTCTGGTCATTACGATGCCGGGCGTGAGGTCTGGGTTGGGCTGCGTGTTGTCTCTCTGACAGATTTTCAGGAGCAGCCTGAAGGCAGCAGGATAGAGAGGATTTGTCTGTTTTCTCCAGAAGTCCTGCGGTAAAAGCTGACACTCAATAAAATAGAGTCTTACAGGATGAAGTGAAGGAATGAGATGTGTAATGGTTTCATTCTGGAGGATCTGCTGGACGAGTTGGGTTTAACTTCAGTTCTTACATCAACAGTATTTCTGCAGTAAAGACGGCTGGTGAGGTCTGGACAGGTGCTGACTCTGCCTGATAATATATGCATGTGAAATAGCCTGAGCAAGGACATCCTTAATGTTTCATAAGACACCTGGAAAGGTTAAAGTCAAGGAGCAAAAAGGGAAAAAACAGAAACTAATAGTGAATAGTAAAGAATAAGAAAATGATAACTTCACAGCAACTACTTCATGGACTAAAGACAAAATAAAATCATGGTCAAGAATAAATGTTGGCGTTTTTGGTAAGATACACCATTTTTCAGGGAGCAAAGTTAAAGGTAACAAGTAAATCTCTGAACCCCAGAAAGTCTCTGGATGCCGTTTGTGGGTCGGTTCATTTTTCACTGCAGTATAAAGTCCTGCTCCTCTGTGGAAGCAGCACAACCAGAAGGAGAGAGACCTCAGAAATGTCTTCTGTGCAGTTTGACACAATTGTAATGGCAAAAATCATCCATCCATCATCTCCACACCTTAATCCTCACTAGGGTCATGGGGGGCGGAGCCTATCCCAGCTGACTCAGGGTGAAGGCAGGTTCACCTGGACAGGTAACCAGTCTATCACAGGGCTACACTTAGAGACAGACAACCAAGCACACTCACATTCACACCTACGGACAATTTACAATCACCAATTAACCTCAGCATGTTTCTGGACTGTGGGAGGAAGCCGGAGAACCCGGAGAGAACCCACGCTGCACGGGGAGAACATGGAGACTCCACGCAGGAAGATCCCGGGTGTCCTCACCGGGACGCCAACCGGCGACCTTCTAGCTGTGAGGCCACAGTGCTAACCAATCATAAAAAAGAAAAACAAAACTTTTTTTTTAAGTTTTTGATCTTTGACTACTTCACAGAAATTTAAATAACCTGGAATCACCAGTTTTCTAAGTGCCTGCAAGTCTTACAATACTGAAAAAATGAATGGTGGCTCATCACTAAAGACATTTTCCGACTTACGTTTTCAGTTTGTTTCCACGCTTTCGTGAGCACTGCTGCAGTTCAGCCGAGCTGAGCAGAAAAGTCATTTTTATCATGTGTCTGCTCATCACAACAGAGGAAATCAGAATTATTTGTAGAATGCAGTGAATCTGATGAAATATCACGATTTTAAGCTAACGTTTGGTTAATTTTCTCATCTGAACACACACATGATTGGTTCATGGAAGCCTCATAAATCCAGCCCTTCTTTGTGTTTTCACAGTTTGAGGCTCTGATAAAGGGGCAATTTTGGCAATTTTTAGAGTCAACATCCCTTTTATAACCAGCAAGTGGGTTCTGGGATCAGATTTATGATTTCATAGTTCATCCATCTGAGTGATGGAGATCAGAGTGCAGCTCAGGAAATTAGGCCTGTTGAAAGGCTTTTTGTCAATCTGGCATCAGCGAGCCGGCCGGGCTCACGCTCCACCTCCTCATCTATCAAACGTGTGCATGAAAGGAGGTCTGTTAGCTCCGGCAGGTTATCACCAGCGCCGCAATAACATCAACATCAAGCGCTGTCACGAACACGGCGGAGAACATTCACTCGGGTATAAACAGAGCGGCCGTGAATGGTCAAAGAGAGAGCATTGTGGGCCGGAGTACAGTCGGGATCGTGTGAATCACTTCATTCAGCCGCTGCTGAATAGACTTGTTGTCTGACGCGGTGCTTTTTCAGACTGTAGATATTGCAGTTTGTGGTTTTAATTGCTCATAAAAGCAATTAAACCGTAAAGATAACTGTTAGCAGAGCTGCACTGTGATGTGACAGCGGTCTGGTGTCACTGTGTTTTTTTACTGTGTAGACTTCTGATTGAAGCCAAATCCAGCTTTATTTAGATCACCAGAGCAGTCGGACTTGAGACAACCGTGCCACAGTCGGGTCCAAAACCAGCCACAGTGGGCCGGAGAAGCCTGAACGCCACAAGCCCGCCCAAAGTATTCGACTAAATCTAGAAGCTGCCTTGTTGTCCCGCAGCCTTGTTGTTTTTTTAAAGCAGGGAATCAGATAACCGGCCATTTTTCCTGCACAATTTATGGCGAAGAGTGAGATTTTCCAGCAATTACTACTGAGAGCCGGCGTCTCAGATGTCCGCAGAAAATTGCTCTGAGAGGAGCTCAGCTGTTTGGGATTAAAACTCTGGAGGCGTTCAGAAAACAAGCGTTTCCAGCGGGTGAGATGAAGTGTGGGAGTCTGAGGAGTGCCTCGAGCCCAACAACTTGAAACCCTGTAATGAAACTATTTAACACGAATAAAAAACGTCAGGAAGGAAAAAAAAATATGAGAAGCTTTAAACACTGATTTGGGTGTGATGTCATGGCGTGAAGGACGGAGAGGTTTCCTTGTTTTGGACGGGAGAGGACACTGATGGACCTCTATGTGTGTGTGTGCATTTCAGACAGAGGGTGTGGCATCTATATTTACACTCTGTGGGACACCATCCCAGAATATCCCGTAACCCGGGCAACTGCAGTCTTTCCACTGCTGATAGGGACAGAGGTGAACAGTGGGGACGAAGCGCACGTGTGCAAACCTGGATTTCAGTGCAAACTCCATCTTCCTCCGTCCACCTATAAACTCTGCTCAAACACACTCCGCCGCCTCGTAGCTGGAAGCACAGAAGCCCAGACGTCCAGTCCGTCCTACTTTTACGACCGCTCCACTAACAACACGCGCACCGGCCGACGCTTTAACGGCAGAAAGTGACAAAGACGAAGCAGTCGCTCTTTTACGGACGCTTGTATCTGTTCAAACAGGAATGTGAGACGGAGGAGGAACAGCTGTACCAGAGAACAAGTCTGGTGCTGCTGAGTTTAAAGAAAACCCACAAGAAGCAGAAATAAAATAAAATAAAATCAGAGCAGACGTCCCTTCAGATGGTCCATACGCTCCGACCTGATGGAAAACACATCACGCAAGAGCGAAACACAAAGTCGTGGGACAACAGTGGCGTCTTTGTGTGGCGATACGAGCGCTACCTGGTGTTCTGGCTCATGTTTTAGTTCCCAGAATGTTCTTCTTAAATGTAGAGACGTTCTAAAAACGTTTGGCGATAACATCACAAGACCATTAAGGCCCAACGTTGTCAAAACTCAAAAAAAGAACGTTGCACTCACAATGTTCCTCCTTTGTTATCATGGTGGAACATTGTGGGAACGTTTTATTATGTGTTACTCAGCAACATCCCCCAAAACATCTTCAGTCTACCTTTGTTCTGTCGTCTGAGGCTTCCACAGCATCTGGAAAACATTGTTTGAACATTGCTTTGAGAACGTTCCTCATTTGTTATTGTGCAACTTTGTAAGAATATTTTATAGAAATGTTCTACCTTTAACATGTCACATGTTACAGGAACATTCTGTCATCTGAGGCCTCCGTAACATCTGGACAACCTTTTTTGAACGTTAGTTTATACCTTTATTGCCATAGAACGTTGTGGGAATGTTATAGAAAAGTGTTCCATAGTGTGTTTCTCAACAACATCCTCAGAACGTTGCAGGCTGATGGTTCCACCTTTGCCTTAAAAAAATCATCTGAGGCTGTGACAACCTTTGAAAGCATTTTTTGAACGTTGCTTTGAGAACGTTCCTCTTTTGTTTTAATGGAACATCATCTGTGTTCCTGATCTCAACATTATATTAGCTTCATAGGAACATTACCAGAAAAGGAAAAAAATGTTCTTTTAGACCTTGTAGGTGATGTTGGGAAATGTTGTGGGAACGTTCCCTACCAGCTGTGGTGAAAGCAAAGGGTGAAAAAGGCAGCAGAGCATCTTTGTGCAGTTTGTTTCATACCTGAAGCCCAGAACACAGACAGAACAAGAAAAGAGGGAAGTAGAGCCCATTGGTGTGGCAGCTTCCTCTCCTCGTAACCCGACTTAAGGAACGCACAAAGACCGATGAAGAAACCGGTCCATTGTGCGACGGGCAAGACGCTTACTTTGCAGAGCACGGAGAACAAACAGACACGCAATGAGAGAGTGTGGAGGCAACAGTGGTAGTTTTACAGATACCCCTATCATTACGTGGACTGGCTGAGTAAACACAGAG